GAGCAGTATTAACAACTTAACAAAATCCTATATACGAGGAACTGAATATATCTCATTGTCTATCATGAAGGTCGTGTGCACGGTCTTGAGATGGGCAGAGGGAGCTTTCATTTTCGTTTTGATGAGGAGGCGACTCTACAATCGGTCCTTGACAACCATTCCGTTTTGGATCAAGATCATGGACCTCCCTCCTTATCTCTGTGAAGATGCACAAGTGGGGCGTATAGGAGAGGATCTAGGTGATCTTTCGAGTTCGAAGGCTATTGGGCCTTTTCCAATGATCCGGGTCCTGGTGAAGTGCGATGAACCGCTTCCTATGTACCGGTAAACGCTTTCCGACACCGGATAGCTGTTCCATATCAATTTCGAATTTTTGAAGCTCCAAACCCATTGCAAGAGGTGCCTGCGAATGACGCATGATACACGAGGATGCCCGAGTAGGGGAATGAGACCGCAGCACCAACCGGAGCAAAATCCCCGGCGTGAGGCAGAGGTTGATCGGAAAAGACAGAGGGGGGCTAAGGAAGAGTCTCCGAAGGCAAAGGGGACTCGAGCGGAAGGCAGAACAAAGCCTCTCGACAGAGCTTCTACCTCAATCCCAGAACCGATGCCGCTGCAAAGGAATTTGTTGTCAGAATTGAGCGAGGTGGGTGACCAGGGAGCTGAGAAACGAGTTTCTAAATCTTCTACCAAAGAGTGGGTTCGCAAGTCTTTTAGCCGCAACACGGGTCGAGGAGCGGAGAAGGAGGTGCGTGAGCAGTCCACAAAGCGGAATGAACCGTCGAAAGTTGTTCCAGCCGTGGATCGGGCACCGTGGTTTTATGCTTCGGAGGACGAGGCGGCTGGAGCGAAGGAAGTGTTGGCACAAAATCGGAAGTGGGAGCAGGCGGAGAACCCAAATCTAAATGCCTCAGCGTCGATTTCCATGGTGTCGGCGGTGGAGACGCGGCAAGCCGAGAAGACGGTGATCGTCCCAGATCAAAAAACGGCGGAAGAACAAAGCTTCTAGAGATACCAAAAACGAATGAGGTTGGGACTGGGCCGATGGGCTCAACTTCTGATGGGCCTCAGTTAATGAAACCCATTACTTGTATTGATTTGGGCATTAAGGATAATTTGGAGGCCCATGAAGTGATCTCTCCTCTTAAGGAGATTCTGGAGGAGGCCTAAGCAGAAAAATGCAGTGGGCACGGGGTAGACCCAGAAATATGCCAAAAGGACCAAGTAGGATTGAACAAAGAATTAGCAAAGCCCTTGGAGTTAAGAAGAACATCCAACAGAGCCCATTCCGGGGTAGTTGTCTTCATAAACATGCGTCCTTAGTTCGAGAAGACCTCGCACCGGGGTGTGCAGCTTTGAACGATGTTTCCCGTCCATCATCTTCGATGACGGCCCAGGCGATGGGCATAGGTCGAAGAAATTTAATGCACCGGTGGTTAAAGGAAAACCACCGACAACCGCTTAA